TTTTAGTGATTTTACGATTAAAGAATATCTTTTGAAGTTCATTCCACTGAAAAGACACACTTCTGGAGGAGTTGCATTATCCATCAGCAAGCATTATGTGGAAATTTCCTGAAACTAAACAACGTTATGAAACTGATGGTAAAAATTGTGAACAAGATTAGAGCTCAAGCGTTACAAAGAAGATTATTCAGAACCTTGGCCGATGAAGTTGACTGTCAAAACGGGGACCTACTCCTTCACTCTGAAGTCCGATGGTTAAGTAGAGGACGGGTGCTGAAATGTTTTAATAATGTCCTATCTGGCATAGTTCAATTTTTCCAACAACGCGATGAACCGACTCCGGAACTAGAAAATTCAATCTGGCTTAGAGATTTTGGTTTTCTCGTGAACATTACAGAGAAATTAAACAAACTTAATTTGCAGCTTCAGGGGAGAGACAAAGAACTAGCGGAAATGATTTCTGATATAAAAGCATTTATCAAAACGCTGGAGTTTTGGGAACAAAACCTAATTAACAGCGATTCCAAGCATTTTCCCATTCTTTCAGAAAAAAGATCTCAAAATCCGTTAGAATTGTATGACAACAAACATCATGTAAAAATAATTTCTACCCTGAAGAGTAACTTCAAAAATCGTTTTAAATATTTCAATGAAATGGCTTTAGTAGCGCAGGTTGTTTTTTCACCCTTTATGGAAATTGATATCCAGTAGTTTGCAGCTTGTGTTATGCAGAACTTTGGCGAAGACATCGCTGCAACAGAAATGGAAGTCATTGAGTTTCAAAATGATTTAGCCTTAAAATCGTTAGTCTCAAGTACTGAATCTACCTGGCCTATTGTAAGTAAAGACAAATATTCAGTTCTATGCCGTGTTGCCTTGAAAGTGAAAGCATTATTTAGTTCAACCTATTTGTGTGAATCTTCTTTTTCCAATATCAGTTTATTATTAGTACCTATGTATTACCAGTTAAACATTAAAATAAATACATATAATGATAGATTAACTGTGGATTATTTCATTCACGTTGCATTATGTAGCTTCCGTGTGGGTAGCTCGCTGTTTATTCCAAAATTAACAAAGTAGATCAACACATTGAAGAGGTTGACGACAACTGCTTTAAACAGTTGTGCTTGATGTCTGATTATGTTCCTAGAATGAATTTAAAAAAATAATTAGGTATCTCATTTATGTATGTAGATGACCTGGACCCTCGGGAATGAGGGAAGGTGGTCCAGTAGCACTATCTATAGCTGAAACGGACCGGAGCAGGTAATGGTCACGGTCCGTGGACATATAGGCCGTATATGCCCACAAGCTAGAGGGAAATACCTTTTTAAAAAAATGCAAATAAATGTTACCTAAAACTAAGAATCTGCAATAAAATTGTTAATTTGTAGAACTAAGAATCTGTAAGAGAAAGTTATTAGTTATCACAACTAAGATTAATTAAGCAAAACAAGTTAAAATGAAAAAAAGTGAAAATTTTGTCGATATCGTCCAAAATGTGATAGTAGTGTTCGTCGGGGTTAGTTCGGGACGAATCAACAAACACATGTAACAAAATATCGACACAAAGCAAGTTATTTGAAATTTTCGGCTATCGAAAAAATAATTCTATTAGATCATCATATCTTCTTTTAGATATCTCTAGAGATGCTTAATTCCAATTTTTAGAGAGGCAGTATTGTTTTTTTGCAAATTTTTTGTTGATTTAATATTTACAGCTCTATATTCAGACAGACATCTTATAGTGAAATTGGTCCAAATTATCTCTTTCAACCTTAAGCACGCATGCCTTACTAAACTTTACAGTATCATTTAAAAAATACAGTATTATTTGAGAAAAGGCAGCAAATATTTGATTTCACGCAAACAAATCCTATGTATCTCTTGATACGTATTTCGACCTAATAGGTCTCGTCAGAAGAGCTATTCATAGGGGTTCTCAACGTGAAAAATCAATATTTTCTGCCTTTTAACAGTATTATTCTTTATATCGAAAAATTATCATATCTTATTTCCACTCCTGTAGAAGTTTCTCCGGTTTTCTTTGTCGTTTGCACTAATGTTACATACTGATCCGGTGTTGAAATTGGCCCTGATCTAAAAGTCCGTTTCATATTTTTTTCTATGAGGGAGTGGGTATTGTCTCCTTCATTTTAAGTGTGTTCATTAAGCAGGTAATTATGAGTAATTAATTTTATTTTACTGTAATTGACTAACGTATAAAAGTAAGCAACTAATACAAATTTGTTTTTCTGCTGTCCTCAACAATTATCCAAGTACAATTTCTAAATCATTTCCATCCTATTCATCAGATTTTCGTTCCAGATATTTTAAGAGACACGATCCTATTTCATTAGGTACACGTTTTCCCTGTCCCTCATTCCATATAAAACAATAAGCCGAGCTTTGCCCTTTACTCGCCAGGTCGCACACTGTGAAATTGTACCTCGAATGTTTTAACTTATAATATGACGTGGACACATCTCCTTTTGGA